CTGGCAAGCTGGTCCCCCCACCCACCCCCCGAATCCCTCTGTGTTGCTGGAGTTCCTGAAAATGTGAACTCCATGCCTGCTTAGACTCCTCAGCTTCCTTCTATGTAAAAAGAAGGGTACCTCAACCCAAAATGCTCTGACCTGATCTAAGATCCTGTGGCCTCAGTCAGTATTAACTTCTGGATTTTTATATCCAGTGGCTTTGTCCCATGCCTCATCACCTATCACTGCAGCATGTGTCCCTTTCATCACATTTCTCTGCCTAAAACATTTTGTGGCTTTTTATGTGCCCAGAGCAAGCATCCAAAAATATCTTAAGATGTCAGAACCAGTAGCTCTGATATCTTTTCTGAGTTTTCAGCCTATATTTTTAATGGGCATTACTGCCCAAATCTCAAATGCCTTATAGCCAAAAACAAAGTGATACTTTCCTCAAACTGACTCCTCCTCTTGCCATCTTTTTGGTGTCTCTGAGGTTGTCATCATTTTACCCTTGTGCCCCGGCTAGAAACCATACGGCCAACATTGACTTCTCCTTCTCTGATTTCTCCTTTGTCTCTGTGCTGTAATGAATAGCTTCCGTGTCTTCCTTTTCTTTCTTTTCCTACTCTTTTTTATGACTATTGACTTTCTACTCCTAGTCTCTCTCTTGTCTTGATTATAGTACTTTCATGGTTTTTAATTTGAATTCCGTAGACTGACCTCAAAGACTTTAAGAATCCCCTCAAAATTATATGCAAATTTTGTACATGTGCATTTTTCAGAGGGTGGAGGGCTCCATTAGACTATTCCATGGGAAAGGAAGTGAGAAATAGAATGAGAGAATGAGACAGTTTAAATCAGTTCCACTGATTTTTTACTTTTATACCCTCCCTTTGCTATTTAAATTTAATTCACTAACCCAGGTACTGATTTCTGTGTTATGAGGGACTTGCATGATATTAAGATAAAGCAAAGGCAAAAAAAAAAAAAAAAAAAAGGGAGCAGCAGTCAGCACAGCTCAGCAGTCAGACAGTCCAGCAGCTAAAGATCAGAGGCTGCCCAGAATCAGAACCAGGCTTTGATGTCCTGGAGAAGCTCAGGAGAAAGCTGGGGTGTCAGCAACAGTGGAAGGTGTCCTTCTGAGACCTCTGGACCCATTTGCTCAAGTGCTTCCAGAGGACTAGGAGTGGTATAAAAACTCAACTAGCAAAAATAATGGAGAGTCAGTGTCTCTAGAAAAAGGTTAAAAACATTCCTCCAACCAGCCTTCCACCCTCTGCACCTTTGTTTCCCAGTCCTTCCTCTATCCTGCCAGCAGAGTTAGCTTTTATCACATCTCATTGCCTACAAAACAAGTTAAAAACTCATGGTGTCAAGACCTGCCACAGCCCCGTCTCCTTAGGACTGTCTTCCCCTCAAAAGCTCTAGTTGCCACTGGCTGTTTTGAGAGAACAGCTTCCATATCCATAGTTCTATGCCTTTGACCGTGTGAGTCTTTCCCTTTTTGATGCCATTTCCTCTCTGCTGTCCAGCCACAAACCTACTCATCCTTTTAGGCCCAGATTTTATGTTACCTCTTCCCCTGTGTCCATTCCTAATTTTCTGCCATCACCCTGGCAGAATCAGTCTCTCCTGGCTAGATTCCAAAACAATTTCATACATATCTCTGATATGTCATATTAAATTATAGATAACTTATTTTTATTTCTGTCTTTCCTGCTAAGCCATAAATGCCCTGCAGGTAGGGACTGTCTTTTTCATGTTTGTATCCCTAACACCTACCTTAGTACCTAGTCTAAACAGGAGCTTAATACACTTTTGTTGAATGGAATTAGTTTTTATGACTCATTTAAAATTAGAGACCAATGCTTATTTAATAAGTCAGAATAGACCATAATAATAATAGTCATAACAAAGTCCCATTTCCACTGCTTATTCAAGTAACCAGTTCCTTTGTGGAAGTGGATTTTGAAAATCTTCACATGTCATTGTATATTTTTGAAGTGCTTACTTGAGATCCTAAAAGAATTATAGTACTAACGCAGACTAGAACTTCTAAGACATCCCTATTGATGTTATATTGAATATGTTCTGTCACTTATATACATATCTATCTATACACACACACACACACACACACACACACACACACACATATATATATATATATATATATAAAATAAGATCTACATGTATGCATCTTGTCTGTTTTTCTCTTTACCTTCAGGGTAATGCTTTGTGAATTACTTATTTTATAAGATCTGATTCGGTTGAATTCGAAATGCAGTAAACTGAGCATTTTCCATGTACAAAAAGAATTGCAGGGGCTGGGGCTGGGACTGTGGCTCAGTGGTAGTACATTTGCCTGGCATGTGTGAGGCCTGGGTTCAATTCTTAGCACTCATATAAATAAAGGTCTATTAACAACTAAAAAAAAATTTTTTAAAAAGAATTGCAAAGTTAGGATTCTGTTATTTATACGTTATAAAGTTTGTTTTGCTAAATTAATGAAGTCTCAATTATTAAAAAATGTCTTTTTTCTTTCAGTATTTTAATTAGTTCAGCAATGAAAGACATCATTGCTCCATAAATTAAGAGCATCAGATAATTTTGAAAAATGACCTTTCCATCATATTCTTTGAGTGTTTTCCACCATTTAGTTATTCAGTCCTTTATTAGGTATACATTATGTGTTAGGCATTATGTTGGACATTTTCAATTCAAGATAGTACTTGCCCTTGAATAGTAGAGCATCAGGTAATAGAGAAGAAGGCGAATAAACGAATAATTACAATATGAGACTTGGAGAAGAGAAAGGAAACTCTTTTAAGAACTGAAGTTGAAGTTGAAAATGGATACATCTGCTGACCAGTTGGTAGATAGAGAAGCAGAAAGATGAAGGGAGTTTGTGCTTGATGATCTTTTTTCTTCTTCCTCCTCCCATTCCCCCCACCCTCCTTCTCCTCCTCCTCCTCCTTCTAATATGTGAAGTAGGAATCAGGAATCTAGGTCATCTCTAAGAATTAATGGCATGGAGTAGCTCTTGAGAAGAAAGGAACAGGGAAGATTTAATAAGGAGAATTAGAGAGGAGCTAACAAAGACAAGTAAAGAGTGGCATGCAGAATCTAGAAAGCAGCGAGTATGGAACTGAAATTGGCTAGCATAACACCGAGGGGATGTCAGTCAGCATGGTGGTGTAATTTTCTCTGGCGGTGCTCTGTGGCCAGTGTGTGGATGCAGTAAAGCCATGTTGTATTCAGGGCTCACAGGATGGGCATGACAAAATATAAAAAGGCCAGGGAATTAAGAGTCCTTCCAAGAAAGTATGGCTTAATATGGAAGCAGGGTGAAGAGAGAGGCAATAAACTTGGAGAAAGTAAAACGTCAAGAAACTAGGCATGAGGATAAAGCCTGGGACTTTGCAGGTACTCAGCAAATCTTCCCTTTCTGCTTTCTGACTGTCCTTTCTTTGTACCTATTCCTCCTCTCCCCCCATCTGCCTCTGCTGTGGTTCAGACATATGAATAGTTTGCAGTTGGCTTAGAGGAGAAGATCAGGAGCCAGGTTCTAAAGTCCTCAGCCCATGGGTCGCAGTGACTTGGATGCTGACAGTGTTTGATGGTGCTGGCCCCTAGGAGAAGCTCAAGGCTTGTCCCCTCATTTCCCCACCACTCCTGCTTGAAGGGTGGGTCAAAGGATGAATACATTATATCGGGCCATGGTTCTTGGGTCAGGGATTAATCTGTGATGAGAAGAGTTATATCTCTGAGTCTTCAAGGGTTTTCACTAAGCCCCCTTCTCTCTACAAGCTAAACTCTAAGCACAGATCTTAGTTCTTTTGAGGATTTAAAAGAAAATCTTTCCTTGAAGTAAGGATAGATGTAAAGACCATACTGGCAAACCAAAGGTCTTCCTCCTCAGAATCTAAAGTTGCTAATAGAGTTGGTTGTAAGTTGTAACTTATTTTGCATAAGTAATACATTGTTGTACTCTTTTCTTAAAGATGTACTTTTTCAGACTGACATTTCAAATAAAGACAAACCATTTTCTGTGGAAATACACATATGTACATAGCATTTCCAGAGGACTTTTTTCACCCGTAATTATAACTGTGACACCGAAGTCACATTATTTCAGAGTGCTTTTTTGGGTATATGTAGTAGAAAGAAAAAACTCATCAGAAAGAGACCATGCACCTTAACTGTGCAGCTGTTAGAAGTGGGAGGGTATCCAGAGGAACAGGCAGAGGTTATAGATCTTCATTTTAAGAAATGAAATAGATGAGCTGGCTAGAGACACCTGGGGAGTCTCTATCCTCAGTTGTGCTGTTTTGGATTGTTAATGGAATCTTTAAGGCATTTAGCAATTCCTGCCTAGAAAATAATTGAATGCTGCTTCTGAAACTGTATTTTCACCTGGGTTGCTCTAAAGAAGCATGCTCCTCATTTGACATTAGTCACACAAAGAAATTCAGCTTTGTTCACAGAGTTGGTGACATCCATCTGGACCCTTGAATTCCTCTAATGTTCATCCAATTCAGCATGCTTGCCCCTTTGTTCAACTGCTTGTCTTGACAGGTGGACCCAAAATTCTATGCATTATACTCTCCATAGCCTACATCATGACAGATTTGTTTTGGGTTAACCACCCCCAACCTTAAAAGGTAATGAAAATAATTAATATCTTATAATTACATATCTAGATCAAAGAGACATTTTCCAAGTTAGGAGTGTTTGTTCTAAGTGTTAGTTCTAATATATTTTTCCAAAGACCTTTAGCTGGCAGCTTTTTCCCCTCAAACATTAATGCTGGTATTAGGAATGGTTTCTGAATTTTATTTTAAAGAGAGAAAGAGACACTGTTCATTCTTGTTCTGTTCATGGCACCTGGATGTTAATATATGTAAATAGTACTACTGTGTTTTACTTTAAGTACGTATGAAGAAGAAAGAAAACCTTCCCTTAAATGTCTTACTTGTATTTTAGATGGTGTAAGACTGTTTTCTTTTCTTTTTCAGGTTGTAAACATGTTAAAGGCATTCTGTTATACGGGCCCCCAGGTTGTGGTAAGACTCTCTTGGCTCGACAGATTGGCAAGATGTTGAATGCAAGAGAGCCCAAAGTGGTCAATGGGCCAGAAATCCTCAACAAATATGTGGGAGAATCAGAGGCTAACATTCGCAAACTTTTTGCTGATGCTGAAGAGGAGCAAAGGAGGGTAATGTAACTATAACTTAGTAAAAATGTGTTCCCACTTATATGATGAATAAAATCAGAGTTATGGAGGCAAATTTGTTATTGTGTTCTATATTTTCAAACAGCTTATAGGTTAAGTTTACTTAGTACTTAGTTTATATTTTACACTACCCCAGAGATTATGTGGGATTTACATGATGTGAGCAGATGTCATTATCCACCTGTTCATAACGTAAAGGGAGATGATTGTATAAGCCAAAGGTTTTGCAAAAACAGATCATGAATATATTTTCAAGTGACACTTTTGTACCGCATTACTTTCAAAGTCTTGAACTCATTTATCTTTTTGAAGCAGGGGGACGGGGGTGTGGTGGTGGTGGTGGTGGTGGTGGTGGTGATGGTGGTTGGTAAATCCATGTATAGACTTACAGAATTTTATTCACACACACAAGGTCCATGATCAGAAAGCTAGCTTACTTACACTCAGTCAGCTCAGTAGTAGAGTAGTAGAATGGCAGGATTGCGTTGTCAGAGCTCAAAGGATTTGAGTCTTAGAAAAAAATAAAATTAACTTAAAAATCAGACCAGAGGCTGGGTGTGATGGTGCTCACCTAAAATCCCAGAGACTTGGGAGGGGAGGATCACAAGTACAAAGATAGCCTCAGCAACTTAGTGAGTCCCTAAGCAACTTAGTGAGACCCTGTCTCAAATTAAAAAATAAAAAAGGCTGGATATGTAACTCAGTGTAAGCATCTCTGGGTTGGATTCCCAGTACAAAAAAAAAAAAAAAAAAAAAATCGGATCAGAGTTTACTAACTGTGATGTTTGATTTTATGTGTCAACTTGACTAGGCCACAGGGTGACCAGGTATTTGGTCAAACCTTATTCTGGGTATGTCTGTGTGGGTGTTTCTGGATTAAATTAACTTTTGAATCGGTAGGCTGAGTAAAGCAGATTGCCCTCCTGATGACAGGCCCCATCCAATCAGTGTGAGGCTAACAGCTGTCTCCTCAACAGAAATAATGGAAACAAGACACCCATTGAATATCATTTTTAAGGGGCTGAGAGGAAATAACTAGATTTTTTTAAAATATGAGATATTATGTTTCTGGGTTCTATTTGTATTGGTAAATATAAGTCTTTTTCCCCTCCCTGGCACTGGGAATTGAACCCAGGGCCTTGTGCATGCAAGGCAAGCACTGTATTAGCCGAACTACATCCCCAGCCTCATATAAGTCATTTTAATATTTGTATGATATTCCATTTCCTACTGAGGAGCAGTCAAGATGCTTCTTTGTTGATTTTTCTTTACCACATTCTGGCCAAGGGTGATGTCATAGTGACATATTTCACTGTCACTTATTATTTAGAAGATTTTTCTAAATAATTTCATTACTATTTCTTCTTCTCCTTCTCCTTCTTTCTTCTTCCTTTTTTTGATGGGTGAGAGGAGATACTGGGGATTGAACCTAGAGGCACTTTGTGGTTTACCACTAAGTTACATCACCAGCACTTTTTTTTTTTTTGAGAAAGGGTCTAACGCTGGCTACAAACTTCCAATCCTCCTGCCTCAGCCTCCTGGGCTGTTGGGATTATAGGAGTGCACCATTTTCTTTTTATTTTAGTATAGTTGAAAATAATTAATGACAGTGACATAATTTTTAGGAATGATGCAACAGCATAATGTATTTTAGATTTATAAGAAGATTCAATGGTTATTGAAAGATAGAATGAGCATTATTCTATTTTTAAAAATATATTTTCCTTTTTATTCTTTGGAAGTTTTGTAAAAAGGAAAAGATACAAAATATCAGTCTTTATAAATAGTTTGAACTGTTCAAAAAAGAAAAAAACCTGAAATGAGTCTAATGGACCCTGATGATTATAGGCACAGGTAAGTTAAAATGCCATGTAAAGAAGAATTTTGTAATACCTTAGTTATGATAGTTTCCACATGGCTACATAGGTAACTTGGGTGTTGTTTTTAAACTTGCAGGCAGTTTGACAGCCAGATGCACTGGCCCATGCCTGTAATCCCAGCAACTTGGGAGGCTGAAGCATAGGATCACAAGCTTAAGGCCAGCCTCAACAACTTAGTGAGACCCTGTCACAAAATTTTTAAAAAAGGGTGATGAGCTGGGGATGAAGCTCAGTGGTAAAGCTCCCTTGGGTTTGATCCCCGTAACTGGGGTGGGGGGGGGGAGTAGATTGGCAAAGACTTTCTAGACAGATTTTAATCAGAGCCAGCCTTTTTAGTGATATCTTTCTCAAATCTTTATGTCCAGAAAAGGCTTGCTATACCCAAGTAATCCCACAGAGGATAAATGTGTTACATAATAAAAAGCATCCCCTCAGTGATTCTGGACAGTCCAGGCTGATGAAGATGAACACTTGCATATAGGTCAAACTAGTTAAATATAGAACAGCCACTTTCAAAGGCTGTTGCCAGGGGCTCAACAGCATCGGCTCTGTTTCTATGGGGAAAGACTGCAGATGGTTAAAAACAGAGCTAGAAGCCAATGAACTAAAGTAGATTGCATTGTGGAAATTCAGATCCTTTGGTAAAGGCTTTATTGATGATTCAGCTATATTAATCTGTGAACATTAATCTTGATATCCTTCCTTACCTGATTTTTAATTTATTGTAATAAGAATTTGCCTTTATTTAAGTAACACACCTGTAAAAATTGATGTTATTGTGCAGTCTGGTTGGGGAAGGGACCTGATGACAGGTCAAAAGATTAGTAAGGTTTTGAAAAGGTCAGAATTGTACTGAATTATGTTTAGGACAGATTACTCCTGTGATCATTTAATCACACACAGTGTTCTTATTGTCTTTAGCTTCCCTGTCCACATAGGTGATTTTGGGGGTTGGACTGAAAAGGAAGTTGTGATTCCAGCTGCAACACAAGGCACACTGACAGTAAAATTCATACATTATACCACTTTTTTGTTTCTTGCTATATTGAGCAGATAAACATGAATAAAAATATCTTTTAAAAATCACGTGAAGGGCTGGGTTTGGTAGCTCAGTAGTAGCACATGTGAGGCACTGGGTTCAATCCTCAACATCACGTACAAATAAATAAAATAAAGGTATTGTGTCCATCTGCACCTAAAAATATTTTTAAAAAATTAAGTAAAATCTCACAATTTTCAGTCACAAACAAGAACATCCTTCTTTTACACTAAAGATGGCAAGAGTTAATACCCTTCTACATAGAATTTCTTTGGCAAGTCTAAGCTTATAGTTCTGATTTTTCATTCCCAATCTTTTCTACAGATGGAAAGATGAATATTTTTGGTGTTGAATTTTTAAGGAAGCAAGCTCTCATTTATCACTAGACATCTACACTATAAATATAATGATATTGAGAAACTAAGTTGTATTTTTTTTCAGATTTGAACTTAATTTTTAAAATATTTATGAAAGGTGAACAATTTATAAGTAATGTTCAGGGAAAAAAATAATAAAACCTAGTTAAATTTTGGAAATGTTTATTATTGTATGACTATCATCTCACATAGAAGTGCATTAAAAAATGAATAGTACTCCAAATATGAATGTTACAATAAGATATTTACCTGTTTTGGTATTATTGTAATACAGTAAAATTGTTTTTTTTCTCTTCTGGTGTATGGTTTTATGAATTTTAACATGTGTATAGATTAATAGACCTACCACCCAAATAAGAATATAATATTAGTGTTTCCTAAACTATTTTCAGGATTTAGTCTAATTCTAATCAAAGCTTGAATTCCTCTTTTTTTTTTCTTACTCTCTTGTTTATAATTGGTGGAGGCTGTTTTTTATCTGATAGAGTAATATGGTTGGAAAGAGCCAAGATAGTCTTGAAAAAGTCTTGAAAAACCTGCCTAACCTACTACTATAGTTACAGAGATATTAACATCTGTGAATCCCAGGACAGAACAGATGAACTGGTAATATCTAGAATGCATAAAATCCAAAGCCTGGTAAAGATGGCATCTCAACCAGTGGAGAAAGAAAAGGTTACTTAGTCAATAGTATTGGGTCAGTTAGTTAACTATTTGAAGAATTATTTGAATTCTTACCTCACTTGGGGTAAGCTGGAGATGTGGCTCAAAAATAAAATATCCCAGATAAAGAATTGTAATGTAATGGCCGGGTGCAGTGGTGCATGCCTGAAATCCCAGCAACTCGGGAGGCTGAAGCAGGAGAATCACGAGTTCAAAGCTGACCTCAGAAACTTAGTGAGGGACTTAGCAGCTCAGCAAGACCCTGTCTCTAAATAAAATACAAAAAAGGGCTGGGGATGTGGCTCAGTGGTTAAACATCCCTGGGTTCAATCTCTGGTGCCAAAAAAAAAAAAAAAAGAATTGTATGATTGTATGTAGTATAATTAATTTAAAGAGCAGTAAAGGTAGGTGACCATTAGTGTTTGTAATGGGGAAGAATTTTAAGGCTTAATGTAATAGAAAACATAGAAAAAATAAAAACTAATAATGTTGACTGTTTAAATAGTATGAAAATCTTCACTTGCCAGGCACAATGGTGCACACCTGTGATCTCAGTGGCTCAGGAGGCTGAGGCTAGAGGATCACAAATTCAAGGTCAGCCTCAGCAAATAGTGAGGAATAAGCAACTCAGCAAGACCCTGTCTCTAATAAAATATAAAAAAGGGCTGGGGTTATGGCTCAGAGGTTAAGTGCTCCTAGGTTAAATCCCTGGTACCAAACAAACAAACCTTCACTTATCAAGTCAAATGGCAAACTGGGATAAAATATTTGCAACAAATATAATAATTTCCTTCATAAAACACTTTTTATAAAGCAATAATAAAAACTTTAAATTCTAGTAGAAAAATGTACAGAAGACATCAAATAAGAGAACTCACAATGATGAAAAATGTAATTTACAGGGCTGGGTATAGCTGAGTGGTAGAGCACTTGCCCAGCAGGTGTGAGGCCCTGGCTTGGTGGTGGTGGGGGATGCAAAACTTCTAGCCTCTTCAGCCTGTATTTAGACAAATGTGATTTAAAGGTTTATAGAAAGATCAATCCCTAGCACTGAAAAATAAAAATTAAAAAAAAAAAAACTCACAAAAGGATGCCACTGTTTATCTGTCAGATTGAGAATTACTTTTAAAAAAATATTTTTAGTTATAGATTGACACAATATATTTATTTTACTTATTTATTTTTATTTGATGCTGAGGATCAAACCCAGTTCCTCACACATGCAAGACAAATACTCTACCACTGAGCCACAACACCAGCTGGAGAATTACTTTTTAAATGTTTCTAATATTCATTATTTGTGAATCTCTGCCAAAACAGGCACTGTCATAGTCCGTGGTGGGATTATAAATTGAGAAAACCTTTCTGGAAAAGTGTTTGACACCCTTCTCAGGTTCCTTAAAATACTCAACAAACCTTTGACCTAACAATTGCCTTTAGAAAATAATCATATATATATTGTGAATCATTATATATATATAATAAGGAATTAATGCAGAGTACGGGAGTTAAACCGTGGAAATAGTCATAATGAACTAGTATAAAGCTATTAAAAATCATTGGGTAGTTATGGAAAAGGATTTAAGATAAAGACTGGACTTAATAGAGCAGAATATAAAATATTATATAGCAGCATCTTGGCTGATTGACTTTGAGGTGATTGTGATCTCGATTTTTTTTATATTTTTCTAAATTTTCTATAGTCATATATTTTGCAATTAGAAATAAAAATAGCTATTTGGAATTGTTCTTAAAGAATAGTTAACATTCAAGAGAATACAAGGTACAGTGAATTTTCAATTTTTAAATTAAATTTAAAATGTAGAATTAAATCTGTAGAATGTTAATAGCAGTTATCTTTAGGTGATCCAATGTAGTTATTTTTAAACTTTATTTGTATTTTACAACTTTTTCTCAGTTAATACACTTATTACTTTTATAATAAAACAATTTTAGCCTCATAATCCTCAATCTCACTATGCTCATCGTTTAATTTATATTATTCATGTACTGTTATATTTAGGTTATGTTTATTTTTTTCTGTTTTGCTTTATTTTAATCCCCAATATGTGGGGGGGGTTGGGATATTGAACCCAGGGGTGCTCTACCACTGTACCATTGAGCTGTATCCCCACCCCTTTTTATTTTATTTTGAGACAGGATCTCACTAAGTTGGTAAGACCAACCTCAAACTTGCAATTCTCTGTCTCAGCCTCCCAGAGTGGCTGGATTACAGGTATGTGCCACTGTGCCCAGCTCCTAAGGTTCTTTTTTGTGTTAAAAATAAAAAAGAAAGAAAAAGAACTATGGCTGACAAGAATTAGCTGTATATTTCAAAATAGCTGGTAGAGAGGATTTTGAATATTTCCAACACAAAGAAATGATAAGTGTTTGAAGTGTTAGATTTGCCAGTTACCCTGGTATGATCACTCTACATTAGAGTGCAATATGTATATATTGCAGTATCACACTGTACCCCATAAACATGTGCAGTTATTACGTGTCAATTAAAATTTTTAAGAAAAAGAAAACATTTCTAGCATGTTCTTCTTCCTTTGGTCCCTAATAGGTGGCTTAATTGAATATAAATTGTTAGAAGGTGTGTGTTAATTTAGTCTAATAAATTAACATTCAAAAGTATTTGTTTCATGCTAGGAATACAGCTCAGTTGGTAGAGTGCTTGCCTTGAATGCACAAGGACCTGCGTTCAATCCCCAGCACCACACCCCAAAAAAGTATTTGTATCTATTAAAGGTCAGAAATTGATAAACATAAATTAATGTCTTTTAATGATGGCTGTTTATAGTACCAAAGCAGAAATCACTATGCAGAAGAAATAGGACCCCTTTACCATGTTCTTATAAACCATTTCTCTGTTCCTACTTTACTCTTAGAGAAAAATAATCTGTTTTCATGTGATGTAAGTAAATTTGAATCATGTTCAGTTTCTTCATCATTTGCCCAATTCCCAGCCACCTCCTGGGTGGAGTTAATCGTTAGCTATATAATATGGCAAAATAAACATTAAACTTACTGCTTTTGGGACAGTCCTCTCACCCAAACCCAGGGAAAATGGGAGGAAGTTGCTCCTCACTGACTTAACAAATGCATCTGAGAGGTGTAAGAATTCTTCTTTCAAGTAGTAAGATAAGACATACATATAAATTCACATTTAGTTATTTGATGGACTGTTTACTTTATATATATGTATATAAATACTATATAACAGTATATTTTTGTTTTATGACTGTTAAATGTGAGGTTCAGGGATGTCTTTTCAGTTTGTAGAATTCTGAAAATAGAGTTCTAATACCTTTGAGAGGGTATCAACTGTGATTAAATTATATTTGCTACATTTATTAGTCATACTAGAGTGAAATCAAACTGTTGAAAGCTTTGTTTTGCTTTTTTGATTAATTTGTTTAATAATACATTTAAATTGTGACCTTTAACATAATTTCTTCCCTTAATAGCTTGGTGCTAACAGTGGTTTGCACATCATCATCTTTGATGAAATTGATGCCATCTGCAAGCAGAGAGGGAGCATGGCTGGTAGCACTGGAGTTCATGACACTGTCGTCAACCAGTTGCTGTCCAAAATTGACGGGGTAGAACAGCTGAACAATATCCTTGTCATTGGTATGTATATTTTCATTTAGAAAAGTTCTAGTCTTCCAAAAACATGAGATCTGTGTAGGTTGTAATTGTGTCATTGTCTCCAACTTAGAATCAAGTGATGTTGAAGACTATTTGCATGTTGAGTTTTAATAGGATAAATAAAAGTTGGGTTTTAGTGAATTGTAGGTTTAATGAAAAAGGCAGTGCTGTGTGATGCAGTGGTTTTCAACCTGCATTACAGCAGGCCCCCAAGGCCCTCAGATTCTACATCACTATTGTCACTATTTTTTTTAACTGTTTTATGTCCTGGGCTACTTCCTGATGATTTTGGATGGGGTGTGCAGAGCTGTTTTATGAAGGTTTAGGACTGGCCTAAAAAATGGGAAGGACTTTGAAATCAGAGAGTTTATGTTCACATTGCCCCCATCACCTTAACAGGTCATTTACCTTCTCTGAACCTGAAATTTTCTTTTTAATTATTGAAAGTTTTCATTACTTTTGTATTCTGTTTGCTTGTAAAGTGGTGAAATACTAAAGCAAAATCTCCTGATATTTTCATTAGAATAGATCAAGACTGAATGTTGGTTTTTATTTGAGAATAAATTGGTTTACTATTTGACTTTTATAAAATGTCTTCTTAGCTTGTTAGAGAAATTACTATTACATATACTGAAGGGACATTTTATATTATTTTCAAACTCTGATCATTTGTTTGTCACTTTGTTTTCACATCTGCTTTCAGGAATGACCAATAGACCAGATCTGATAGATGAGGCTCTCCTTCGACCTGGAAGACTGGAAGTTAAAATGGAGATAGGTAAGTAGATCTGTCACTGATGGCTGTGCTGTGTGCATGCACACATGTGTTCTGTGTGCACATGTAAATGCTTATAGCATTCAGAGTTCATTAAGAGGAGCAATATCACCTAATTTAAATTTTGTTAGAAAATTTTATTTCTATAGAAGAGAAAAAAAATTCTATATCACGAGAAGAAGGTGTTTGCATGCTTGAGTACCTAGAAGAAAAGCATTAGGATTATAATTATGTCTTTTTTTTTTTAAAGACAATTTCTTTCTTTTTTTTTTTTCAGAGAGAGAGAGAGAGAGAGAGAGAGAGAGAATTTTAATATTTATTTTTTAGTTATTGGCGGACACAACATCTTTGTTTGTATGTGGTGCTGAGGATCAAACCCGGGCTGCACGCGTGCCAGGCGAGCGCGCTACCGCTTGAGCCACATCCCCAGCCCATATAATTATGTCTTATGGGCTCTTGAGAGTAAGCAAATGTATGTCTCTTTCATTTTTTTCAGGCTTGCCAGATGAGAAAGGTCGACTACAGATCCTTCACATCCACACAGCAAGAATGAGAGGACATCAGTTACTCTCTGCTGATGTAGACATTAAAGAATTAGCTGTGGAGACCAAGAATTTCAGTGGTGCTGAATTGGAGGGTCTGGTGCGAGCAGCACAATCCACTGCTATGAACAGACACATAAAGGTCAGGAAAACCAACTCAACTAGGTGTTTGCAGTTCTCTTAGTACCATGCTCACATTCTTTTTCCTATCAAGCATGCCAAGGCAGGTAGACTGACTTCTGATAGAGAAAAGAGATGATAAAGAAGTAAGAATTAAGTGTCCACTGCTCAATCTTTAGAATACCAGAAAGAAAGACAATGCTACCAGTAGTAACCACTACCTTATTTTGCCTTCATCTTACACAGATGCATACAGCAAAGGTTTCATTTACTTATTTTTTTGTGTATGTGTTATTGGGGATTAAACCCAGGGGCCTCATGTGCACTAGGAAAGCATTCTGCCACTAAGCCACACTCCTAGCCCTTGAATTAAAGATTTTGAAGTTTTTAGAAATCTTTGCACTGGACTGGGTGCAGTGTCACATGCCTATAATTCCGTGGCTCGGGAGGCTGAGCAGGAGGATCTCAAGTTCAAAGCCAGCCTCAGCAAGTTAGCAAGGCACTAAGCAACTCATTGAGACCCTGTCTCTAATTTAATAAAAGGTGGTGGGGCAGTGCAGGGAATGTGGCTCAGTGGTTAAGAGCCCCTGGATTCAATCCCCAGTACCAAAAAAATAAAATAAAAAATAAAAAAATCTTTGCACCATATTCATTTGTACCTTAATATATCATAAGTTGGATATTAGAACTATAGAGATTGCTACATTTAGCAAATATGCCAAATACTTGCAATTTTGAAATAATAGGCTGGAGATGCAAGATAATAAATCATGACCTCTTCTCTCAAAGGGTTCAAAGTCAGGGAAGCAAACATGTTTGCAAATTATTACAATAATGTTATAGACACTATGGCAGAAATACATACCTCTATGCTTTTCTTTTGATAGGTTTGATAAATAAAGTGTTCTTGATCCTAGCTCCTTTCTTCAGTTTTTAGTTATCAACTATAGACAGATGACTCCCAGATTTATATCTCATTTCTTGAATATATCTATTTCCTTCTTTCAGATTCATTTTAAATGCTCCCACCCATGTTTTCTCATGTCTCATATTTAATTTTCCAAAACCAAATACCATTTTTTACTACTTTTCTTCCTGCTTCTATTTCACTGTTTATTCTCAGACTTAAAAATTCAGGATTATCTTTAATTGCTGCTACTTCTGTGTCCCATATCATGTCATTTGCAGGTATTATTCAGTATCCTTCAGTTTTCACTGCACCATCCCGACTCGGCTATGGCTCTCAACAACTGCCACCACCCATCTTCTCTTTGACTAACTTTCCCATCTCAGATCATGATCATTCTACCCTTCATGACTTTGTTATTTTCAGAGCAAAATAAATATTTCTTAGCCTGGTCTTTAAAGTTCTCTAGGTCTGCCTATAATTAGCCCTTCCAGATGTTTTCCTGATTATTCTCCATATACTTCAGCCAACCAAAATACTTGATGGTTACTAGTTATCAGACATTAATTTATTTTTCAACTTCTCTGCTCTTTTTTTTCCCCTTATTTGAGGATCTTTACCCTTTATATTTACCTGTCTCATATGCTACCCTGTCCTCTAACTTTTTCTGATTCTCCCTTTCAAGAATGATGTGCTCTCTTTCTTCCTGAAATAGTAATGTATTATTAGAATGCCTCCAGTTGACTTTGGTCCAAATAGATTTATTCAGTGTCTACAGTATACTGTGCACTGTGCTAGGAGTTAATGCTATAATTGCAGAGAAGTAAATTGCCTGCCATTGAGTAGCTCCCAGTCTGATCCTCCCTATCCAGTCATTGAAAGTATATGCAAGGTAAGGAAGTTAAAAAGTATCAGGTGTGGTCAACATAGGGTGAGAGAAACCACAGAGCAATTATCTATGTGGATATGAACGTCTCTTAGTGGGTAGAAGGAAAATCATATGCCAAGGATCAGGGACATAAAACAGCATGATGTGTTGAGTAATTTGGTACTGCTTCAGCACAGAAGTCAGGGAAGGGGTACTAGGAGAGAAACATTGTTGTATAAGTCAGATGACTAAAGCAAGGGATGGAGCACAAAGAGTCTTTTATATACTCTACTAAAAATATGGACTTTATTTTTCTGCCAGTAGTGCTAAGCCATTGAAGAGTTTTAAGAATAGCAGTGAAATATTGTTAAAACCGTATCAGTCTGGCAGCTGTGTCAAGTGGAGTATTTAGGGGAGTAGAGTCAATGACATAAGACAAGAGAAGGGAACTTTTATAACAGGCAGGAAATAATAAAAGCCTGAAGAGAGAGGTCAAGTCTGTTGAAACTACTGGGGTACATCCTGTCAATGATTCTAGACCAGAAGTCAGCAAACCGTGGTCTGTGGGCCCAATCTGGTCAGCCACCAGAGTTTATGATTAAACTTTTTTTGAAACACAACTACACACACTTATTCATGTCCATGGTTGCTCTTATGCTATAATGGCAGAGTTAAGTGTTTGCAACAGAGACTGCGTGGCCTACAAAGCCTAAAATATTTACTATCTGTTTTTTTTATAGAAAAAAAGTTTGCTGACCCCTTTAGATGTTAAGTCCATTTCTTTTTTTTTTTAATTAAATATCTTTATTTATTTATTTTTATGTGGTGCTAAGGATCAAACCCAGGGCCTCACGTGTGCTAAGGATCAAACCCAGGGCCTCACGTGTGCTAAGTGAGCGCTCTACTGCTGAGCCACAACTCTAGCCCCAAGTCCACTTTTTAATTCATCTCTGAATCTTCTGCAGTATCCCATATAGATCTAAATACTGAGCATATGATAATATTCAGAAAATATTTTTTCAATGAGTAAACTAAACATGTAGTCTGAAACTCTATACATGAGTCATAGTTTCTGTAAATAATAGAAGTGACTTTGTTTTAGCTCATTTTTTCCAAAAGTTTGATCATTGTGGGAATACAGTATTAGGTTCATTAATGCAGCTTATACCTGCAGAAATAAATCCATTCTTCTTCCTGGCCGTAGATAAGCCTTAGTAAAAAGTGGTGGTGAGTTAAAAAAAATTATGTAAGTGATATGAAAACTGCTCCTTAATGATCCTTCATCTTGGGCCACAGGAGGGTGTCTTAGTATAGTCCACCATAGTTAATGTGCTAGTTATTGGACTTTCATGTGCATTGGCCACAGATTTTTTTCCCCTTATTTAGTCATTTGTCATTTTTACCACAATAATCTTTTCCCAAAATGTTACTCTAAACCATTGTCTCACAAAGAAGTGTTCTTCAAATCATGTTGGGTTTATCTATATTGGAGGCAAGAATATTGGTAGGAAGGTCACAGATTTCTTAGTCAAGAAGTGTGGTCATATATTACACAGTTCTTTTGCTGTTTGTTTCTGACCTGTCAAGGGGAAGTACTATAAACTATATAAATGCTAGTTACATACATTTTTTGTATTATTGGCTGATTTTAGAGGATGTCATATACATCCTTTTCAATATCTGAGTTTCGTGTGTGTGTGTGTGTGTGTGTGTGTGTGTGTGTGTATGTATTGTTGTCAGTGGACCATTATTTTATTTATTTAATGTGGTACTGAAAATATAGTCTAGTACCTCACACAGCTAGGCAAGTGTTCTACCACTGAGCTACAACCTCAGCCCTCTGATTTTTACTCATTATTTTCACTCAATACTTATTCAATATTGCATTTATAATTTTTCTAATTATAGAGCTAAAATGTTTGTTACACTGTATAGAATATGTTATTCTTCAGATTTGCAAGTCAGTAGTGTGAACAGTTGACTGTTATTTCCCTCACTTTTTTCATGTGGTTGAATATTCTTAAAAGCTTCATGGATACATATTAATTTGTGATCAATGCTTTTTGTATCAAATAGGTTTCAATTTTTCCCAATATCAATAAAATAGCTAATGCGCAGCACTATGTGGGCTCTTAGGAAAGAGAAAGATTACATCACTAATCTCACCCCCCAAAAGGCATACTACTAACATGTGTTTCTTTATTTCTATTTCTAACAGTCTGCATTGTTAAAGAGTCTCTAAACACTGTTTTCCCAACTGAATGACTCCTCAGCAGAACAAAAGACATAGTTTCAGTTTTTCCACTGCTGTAGATGTTCATAGCTTTATTTGTAATGTTTGATAAATAAGTTTTTAATTTGAAGCTTAGGATTTAAAGTTGGGTAGAACTTTAAAACATCCACAACATTCAACTATTATGACATTCTTTCTTCATAGTATAAAAAAATGCACTTTAATAAAATAAAAAATAATTTTAAAAAATGCACTTTAAGTGATATTTTGCTTCCCTTTCAAAAGATTAGACCTAAAGAAAGATTTAGCCAACTAAGTAAACAAGTCTTTGCTGTTAAACTATTTTTTCAGGTTTTCTGAAACAAGTGGAAAATCCAGCCATAAACACAGAGGTTCATGTCATTTATACTTGAACCCATGTTTTCGGTCAACTAAAATTCATGTGACATTTGGTTGTTTTTGTCTTGAAAGGAATTTCTGCTTCAGGTAGAAAAGATTCATAATCCAAATTTCTTCTCTAATATGCTGTAAGGAATAAATCGAGGACACAAACACTTTATAATTAAATCAAAGCTCTGAATTATATTTACTGAATTTCAATAAAATTAATTCTTTTATGTAGACTTTTTGATTGATTATGGTTATTCTACCCTTAATTTAAGAGAAGAATGATAAGAACTTTGAAAGGTCAGATTTAAAAGGTTATGAAATTTAATGGTGACCACTTGATATTTGCTAGTGTTGAAATACAAGCTAATGAGTTTCTGCAGGTATAAGTTGAAAGATGCTGCCTCTTCTATATTGATTAGGTGTTATAAATAAACTGCAGAAAATATCTTACTAACTCAAGCAAATGAGAAAAGATTTTCTGAATGAGTAAAAATTCAGAATTATTGACTTTTAAAATAAGACTTTGCTATTTTTATAAAATAGTAAAAGTTGATTAAGAGAAATCCTTAAGGGCTGGGGTTGTGGCTCAGCGGTAGAGCATTCACCTAGCACATGTGTGGCCCA